TTTTTAGTATATATTTAACGCGTTATATACAAATTTTTATAGCTTTATAAGGAATTTATATATTTTTGTTAGTAATATTATAATAATCTTAACTAATTTTAAAAGTTGTTTAAAATATTTTAACATTATTTTTAAATTATCTATAGATATTAATTTATTACTTTTAGTATTAAAACTTTTTGTTAGATATCGATATATTTAGTTATTAGGATTTATTATCAATATTATTAGTTTATTTAGTATATAGGATTATATTAATATCATTATAAAGGTAAAATGCTTACATAAGTTCTATTAACTTAAATATTAGGTTAGAGCTATAGGATTTCTATAATATGTTATGTTAACATATAACATTCTTTTATAATAATAATACTAATATAAGAATAATAATAACGCTAAACTTACTTTCATATTCTATATGAAATAAACTAATAAAGTTTCAGGTATAAAACCTTATATAAAAATACTTGATTTATTATAACTTATAACTATGATATTGATTATGTAATACGTATAGTTACGTAAGCACCTTATGTAATTAGCAGGTTACGTTTCAGGTTATCTTTCCCCTCACTTTTCCCTACTAGAGGATGCAACCTGCGAACAACAACAACCAGACTCATCACAATACATCTATTCCCTTGGTATTATCTATACAATCAAATGCTCATAAATGCTCAGAATTATTACCTTTTATCATAACACTACCACATCCATAACCTGTATACGCTTATACCTGTGCTAACACTTTTTATTAATAAAAATAGCTTTAATTTTTAGCTATTATAGCTATGTATTTAGCTTTAGTTTTTTTAGTTATTTGAATAATATAGTTAGTATTAAAAATAATATTATAAGTAAACAAAATGTTATAACTATAATATAAGAATATATATATATATAGTTATAAGTAAAATAAGTAAAATATATATTTATAGGAATATAAATAAATAAAGAAAATTGAAAAATAGAAATAGTATAAAAAATATTATTATTGTTACTATTTTACTTTTTTCTTAACTGTTTTAATTTTTTTTATTTAAAGTAACAAAAAGCTCCTATTTCTACTAAATAAAATAGTAATATTAGTTATTACTTTAGTATTTATAATTTTAACTATAAGAGAAAACATATATAAAAAAAATTTTCCTTTCTTTTTATAATTTAATAATAAAACTATAAAATTATTTTTTTTATTAGTTGTTTTATTAATTACCTCTCTTTATATTTATTTATAGTATCTTATATGTATATTTAGATTATATAATATTAGTTATATAAGATTAAAATCTTTAAACTTTTTTTAAACTTTAAAAAGTATATTATAATACCTTTAAATATCTAAAGTAGCTTTATACTGAGAAGAAAATATAAAATAACCTACCTCTAACCTATTTATCTAAGCTAATGTTATTCTAGCGCGTTATAGTCTATTCCTTAAAAAACCCTTTACGTTAGACACTGATTTAGAAGGAATTAAGCTGTTTATTTACACAGATGCCACATATACGTTATAGTTAGTTTACAACAAAAGTCCATCGCACTGGTCACTTCTGGTAGTAAAGAGGGCCAAGCAGGGGCTTGCTTCAGTGAATACCCAGACTATGCCTGATCAGTTCGAAGGCATCAATTAAATCAGGAAGTGTCGTGAAAGCTCACTACTACCATTCACGGTATCCCGTCAGTACTCCAACTTTTCCCTCTCCACCTTTTGAGATTTCGTTTACACTTTCATGTAGCAAGCCTGTTGTCGTTAGTACCTAGGTGGGAGCTTGTACCCTATTTGAACTCAGGTAAGTGGCCATTAGAAAGAATGAGCCACAATGAGAAATAGAAAGGCGAAATGTGAACACGGCTTCATTATTGTGGATCTAGCTTAGACTTCTCAAACCTTCCAGCGGCCCATCTAGGTCCAGAACCTGAGCACCGGCAAATTCCAGCTCAGTCGCCTCGGTAACTCTCAGGCCCAACATGTGCCCCGCCACCATTATTTCCATTCCCTCTAGTCCATTAAGCCGGAAGTCTGTTTATGTTTTGGTTTCATTAAGCGGTAAGGGCAAGCAAAGACAGCACAGGAAGGAGCACCCCGAACGAGCCTGAATTGGTGACAATCGAGGCCGCCGAGCTGCCACTGCCGCTGCTTGAAGAGCTCTCATTGCACGACACAAAACCGTTGCGCTGGACGGCGCCGGTGTGGGTCATGGCGCCGACAAAGACGCAGCTGCCCCGGTAATCGGAGTCGAAAACCACACGGTCGGGGCCGGGTGCCCCTGCGAGGTGCACGTTAGTCCCAAATATCGAATGCCAAGAGGTGGTGTTTGCGAGTCAAGGGATGCGGGGTCTGGTAGGTTTGGAGTGATGGTGGATGAAGGTGCACACTTACTGCCAGTGTAGTTTCCAGACGAGATGATGGGGAACTCTTGGTAGGGGCCGGAGGTGTCGAAGGTGAGGCCCTCGCGGTTGTTGAAGCGGTGGGGGTACTCGCTGGTGCCGACCTGCTGGTTGTTGGCGTAGAGGCGGCAGCCCTCGGCGACGGCCTCGTCGACCTGCTTGCGGGAGTACTTGGCGTCGCCGCAGCGGATGGAGCCGAGGCCGGTGGTGCCCTGGCGCTTTTCGAGGGCGATGGGGTTGGCGGCGGCGAGGATGGCGCAGAGGGCCAGGGCGAGGGTGGATTTGAGGCTGACCATGGTGTGTGGAGGGAGTGAGATGAGATCGGGGTTAGTTGTAGTCGATGCGACGGTAGAAGTGGTGGATGACGATGGTTTAATGAGTCGAGGTTGTTGACAGGTGGAAGTGAGGCGAGCGTTTGTTGCTGTAACGGATTTGAGACGCGCAGTGAAGGTGGGATGAGTGAAAGGGAAGGGCCGGCCCGCGATTAATAAAACTGTCCGGCGGATGGTCTTGACCGTCAACTGTGTTTCGAAAGATGGGAATGTTGTCCAAAGAAAAGAAAACCGAGAATAGAAGCCAGAAAGAAAACAACAGATGGCGCCGAGAGGGTCGCCTAGAGCTTGGCCGGCGCAAGGTTCCCGTCCGCCAAGTGCGTTGCCGACCGTCGATGGCGTCTCGTTCAGCTGTCTTGGTCCCCTTGGACGCCTCAAAGGTGCCCCCAAGTCGGCGAGACCGGGCCCTCGGGTGCCTGACATGCGCTGGCTCCCGCCCGAAAATGTGTCAGAGGTTCCCTGACGAGCTGCGCTGAGTGAGGAACCGAAGCCAACATCACGTGTGGCGTCCTCTGCACCAATCAAATCCTGCGAAAATGAAAAGAAAAACATAAGCTTAATCTTGAGGAGAGGCCGCCAGGACGCAACGCCCCACTCTAATTACCGCCCCCCTCTCGATTCTTCCGCGGAAGGGGCCGAGCAGCCGAACCGCCCAATGCAAAACACACAAACAACTCGAATGGATGCACACAGAGACAAGACGAGACGTTGTTTGCGTTCGCTGTCTGTGTCTGTGTCAGCAAATCAAAGCCACACTTGCGATCTTGGGGCTTGCGCGTCTCCCCTGTGCCACGACCTGTGCCGTGCCGTTGCATCCCGCCTCGCCTTATCCTGCGGTGCCACGGTGCCTGACGCGGAGCCCGGAGCGCGCCGGACCTTTGCCTTTGGCCAGTGCGATTCCATTCACGTTAATTTGATTGGCAACGTGGCAAGCTGAGCCGAAATGAGGTCGATGCGGGGCCGTTGCACACAGTGTTTGCTGCGGAGGCACGGTGCTTGGAGATCGACGTAAGTGAGGCCAATACGCCTCCACGTGGGCTGCCTTCCTCGTCTTCCAAGCTTTACGTCCATCTTCCACACGACCGTTAACACCACGTCACCGTTCCCAACCTCTTTCCATGCTTCAACACCTCCTCACAGCTATTCCCCAACTCATCAACCGCATAACCATTCAAACTCGAAAAGGAACATGGGCGTGAATAGTGCCATTGCGGGGCTCCCCGCCTACAAGGCCCTCGACGCCTACCTCACCACCAGCGGCGACAAGAAGGCCCTCGACGACACCGTCCAAAAGTACAACGACCTCGCCAAGGCCGCCGAGTCATCTCTCGAGGACTTCCTCTGGGACACGTACAACGCCATCTTCGCGGCCGCCAAGCAGACGGCCCCTGAAAAGCAGGCGCCCCTCGTCGACTTCGTCCAGCGCCTGCGCGAGACCACCGTCACCGGCTCCGACGGCCAGGCGCTGCACTTGAGCGAAGGCGTCGTGTGGAAGGATCTGCCCACCTTTGGATGGGTTGCTCGCGATCTCTGGAACTTTGGTGCGTTTGCAATCTTCAAACTTCACGTTTCTTGATCTGCCGGTATCAGTGTTGTGATATCAACCTGCCTAATCGGGAAACGCTCAATGAGGCCTTTAATCGCTACATTTTGCATTCGCTAACAACACCGCAGACGTCACCGACGCATCCGCTTCAAAGGAGGATAAGGCATCCTGGGACAACCTCGCCGCCTTCCTCGCGCAACTCACCTCCCGCGCCTCCGTCTCCGAGGGCACTGCCGACCCCCTGGACTACTCCACCTACGGCCTGTGGGCGCTGCGCACCGCGTTCGAGGAGGAGCACCCCGCCGGCGCGGACAAGAGCGCCGCGCTGAGGCAGGCGTCGATTTGGATCAAGTACTCCGGCGAGACGCTGCAGAAGCTGGCCGCCCGCGACGCCAAGCTCGAGGCCAAGACGGGCAAGGCGGGCAAGGCGGGCGGCAAGTTTGACGGGAAGGAGTGGAGGGGGTTTAACCAGGAGAGGTGGGGCGTGTGGACGGAGGCGTTTACGGCGGCGCAGAGTGAGGTTGCTGATGAGGAGGTGAAGGGGCTGGCTAAGGAGGCTGTTGGGATGATGAAGAAGTGAGGGAAGGGAGGGATGTTGATGATATGATTTACATGATGAGATTAATGAAAATAATAGACAAAGAAAAGCTTTCTATGATTATATGGAAGGACCTTCCGATAACATCGTATCATACGTCGAAGTTTATCAGTGTAATGGCCAAGAGGAATCACCCCTCCTGAAGCTTCCACAACGAGGCAAACACACCGCCCCGCTCAAGCAACGTCTTCGGGTGATCAAATTCGACGACCTCCCCATCCTGCAGTGCCACAATCTTGTCAAAGTCAACAACGGCCTGCAGACGGTGCGCACTCACAATGACAGTCCACCCGTCAAATTCGCTCCTGATAAGGTCCTGCACAACCTGTTCCGTCGCCTGATCCAAGCTGCCAACACGTCAGTCAATATCACGAAGCATTCCGGTCACAAAGACATACCTGCTCGTCGCCTCGTCCAGCAACAACACCCTGCTCTGCCTCAACATCGCTCGCGCCATGCAGAACAGCTGCTTCTGACCCGCGCTCAACCACTCCGTCTCAAAGTCCACATCCAGCCCGCCCTTGTCCTCAAAGAGACTCTTCAGGCGCGTTTTCTCTAGCGCTTCCCATACCGCTGCGTCGTCGGACTTGTCCAGTGGATCGAGGTTCCGTCGGACGGAGCCAGGGAGGAACAAGGCGTCCTGCGGCAGCGCGACGAGACTTTCTCGCAGCCGTGAAATCGGCACCGTCGAGATGTCCAACCCGTCCACTTCAATACTCCCAGACGAGGGGTCATGCAAACGCAGGAGGAGCGCGAGGAGAGTCGACTTACCGCTCCCTGTCCGCCCGCATATCGCCACCTTCTCACCAGGCTGGATTTCCAGGTTGACGTTCCGTAGAACTTGGTGGTCATCGTACGCAGCAGCCACATCACGAATCCTCACACGCCCCCGATCAGGCCACACGCTCTCCACCTCCGCATCCCCATCAACCTCCGCCGGCGTCTCCATCTGAAACTCCCTAATCCTCGCCACAGCCCCTAAACTCGTCTCCAGATCAGCCCAGTACTTCAGCAACAGCATCAACAAGTACCCGAACCCCATCACACTAACTAGCGCCACGCCAAGCAACCCGGGATCCACGCTCTCGCGCAGCGCAACCGCCAGACTGACAAGCAACACCGCCAGCGCCGCAACGACGAGGTCGAGCACGAGGAGCAGCCACTTCTGCAGACTGCCCATGACGTAGAACGCGCGCTGGCTCATGTCGAGCCGCGCGAGGTTCTCCGCTTCGGCAGCGGCGGTGACGGCGAGCGCGCGGATGGTGACTAGACCGGCGGCGGAGACGAGGAAGTGCGAGAAGAGCGGGGACTTGGCTTCGAGGTCGAGGAGGCGGATTTGGCGCGAGGTTTGGAGGTAGACGCGCTGGAGGAGGTAGAGGGCGAGGAAGAGGAGGGGGATGAGCAGGGTTAGCTGGGGCGTGGCGAGGGTTGTGAGGACTATTTCGGCGATGGCGAGGGTGAAGTCTGCGATTGGGTTAGTTCTTCTGTTGGGAGGGAGGGGAAGAGACAGGTGGGGGGGGGGGGGGGGGGATTTACAGTCGAAGGTGAGCATGAAGGCGAGGGGGAGGGGGAGGTCGATTAGGTTCATGTCTTGGCTGAATCTGTAGGATGTTAGATGATGGGGTGAGCTGGCGTAGAAGGGAGGGAGTACCGGTTGATGATTACGCCGGTGTCGGTTTTGACGAAGAAATACATTGGGGCACTGTGATATGCGTCAGTGAGTTGAGATGGCGGGAGTGTGTGACTTACGCGAGGGCGGCTTTGAGAACGCCAAAGTGAAGGCCCTTGGCGGAGTGCGGGACGATGATGACCAGAAAGTAGCTGAAATGTGTCAGTGATACTAAGGAATGAGTACTTTGGTGGGAGCGCTTACTACGTCTCAATAGCAACAGCAACTTCGGTCAAGACGCCCCAGAGGACATACACTCCCACCCACATCCCCAGATTAGGATCAGAGTGGTCTTCATTCGCAGCTACCCAGAACTTAACCCACAGGCCTGTGATAAACTCGTCAGAACCTAGCACATCATCGATTACAAGAGGTGGTCTTACGCTGCATCGTCCGACATCCCATCTGGAACAGCACCATCGTCGCAAACAGCAAGAACGCCGACGTGCCCATGGACTTGATGTAATACAGCAGCGAGCTGGTATTCGCCGCGCCACGGCTTGCTTTGAGCTTCTCGGCGCCATTGGGTTTCACCCCGGCGACAGGCTTGTCTTTCTTCGGCGCTTCAACGTCGAATTTCACCTCCTCGTCGCTATTCTCGGGCGTGTCCTCATCCGGGTCACTCAGTGCCGTAACCCGCAGCTTGCTGACGTAGCCGTCGGACTTGCTGAGCTCCTCGAAGGAACCGCGCTCAGAGATCTTGCCGTCGGCGTTGAGGGAGAGGATCTGGTCGGCGAAGCGGAGCCATTGAGCTGCAATTCCGGGGTTTAGTCCTGTTTGCCAGGGGGTGATTTCAAAAAAGCCAAAAGAAGGAGCTTACCGTTATGAGTTGCAAAGATGACAGACCTCTTCTGGTCAGCTTGAAAGCTTCGAAGAAGCCCTTGAGCGCCGAATAGCGCGTTGAAGCACTTCGAGGCTGTGTTCGAGTCGAGGCCCTTCAGGGTGTCGTCCATGATGATAACTTGCTTCCCGCTATAGATGGCTCGAGCCAGCGCCTGGGTAGACATCATCAGTGCGGAACGAAGCAATGCAAAAAATAAAGCTCACGATCCGATGTTTCTGCCCGCCGCTCAAAGCAGCCCCTGAACTTCCCACGATAGTGCCATCTGCGTCCGGGAGCAACCGGATGTCCTCCTCAAGCTGACACGCCGCAATCACCTTATCATAAAGCACTGCGTCATAGTTTGCGCCGCCGGTGATGTTCTCCCTGATGCTTTGGTTCAAAATCCAGGGGTCCTGGTCGCAGTACGCGACCTCCGGACTCGTAGCGTACTCCACATCTCCGGCGATGCGATACGTCTCGCCGACCAGCGACTTCAGCAGCGTCGACTTACCAGACCCAACCGGGCCAACCACAATCGTCAGCGTCGCTGGTTTGATCTCGAGATCCAGGTGGTTTAAAATGGCCTTGTCGCTGCTCCAACCAAACGATCCATCTGAGACCTTGATCAGCGGCTGGTCGGGCGTCGGCTCCTGCACGACTCCGTTGGGCTCTTCCTGCCTCTTCAATCTCACGTTCCTGTAATCCTCCCTCTTCTCCTTCGCCAGAAACTCCTGGATCTTGTCAAGGCAGCCGATAGTCATGGCGAGGTGCCGCGGGACCATGACGAGCTCGGAGACGGGGTTGATCAGGATACCCAGCAGGGAGAGCGATGTGAAGGCCTGCACGACGTTGAGGGGCTCTCCGCCGGCGAGGCGCTGCGTGATGGCGAAGGCGGCAAGGGTGATTGAGGGAGTCATGATGGAGGGAAGCTGGCCTGCAAAATAATTATGAGCCAGCCGGTGGTTGGTGTCACAGAAGATTACTTACCGACGAGGATGTTTGAGATTTGGATCTTCCTAAACTCCTTGGACTCCTCGAGCTCAAAGTCCCGGAGCCCCTGGATCTGGTCCTGCACCGCGCCGCTGAGACCGCTCATCTTGACGCCCTTGACGGAGCCCATGACCTGTGTGGTGACGCCGACGCGCTTCTGGATGGCTTCGCGCCAACGGCGCTGGCGGGGCGGGATGAACTTACCCAGCCGCGCTGCTATCAGAACGCTGACTGTTAAGTGATTATCAGCGCATCTATTCTCGAGGGAGATGGAACATTCGCAGTGAACCCCTTACCGATGGCAATCAGAACAGGTGTGATACACGCAGCACCCAGCTGGTTCCCGAGAATCCACATCGCCAGCGCGACCTGGATCAGGTTCGGGACGACGGCAAGGCACCACTCAGCCGCGACGGTGATCCACTCGACCTCGGTACCCATGAGCGCGACCGCGGCCTCCGAGGTGCCGCTCTCGGCGCGGAGGGAGAGCATGTTTTGGTAGATTATGGCGATGATGGCGCCTCTGATGCTGGTTATGAGGCGGTAGGAGAGCTGGCTTGTCCACAGGGAGGATACCTGTTTGTAATGAATCAGTGAGGAGCCGAATGTGGGAGAGGGTGGGAATGGCTGTGTACCGCGTTTCCGATAAAGACGAAAGCGAATTGGGCAATGAGCCAGTAGCCCTCCTCCACGGGTGTTGTTTCGTGGTTCTGGATGTACTCGATTGTGATTTGGACTAGGATCGGTTGGGCGAGACCGAAGGCGACTTTGATGAAGCGGGGGCAGTGGGTGTAAAGGAGCTCTGGGGAGAAGGCTTTCAGCAGAGCAATTGACAGGGCGTGGGTTCGAGTTCGGTCGACTGAATGTTGGATGAGGTCAGTACCCAGTTCTGAAGGAAGGCAAATTAGAGCTTGGCAGTACAGTACCATTCTTCCAAGCTGTAGACAGTCTCTCCAAGAGCTTTTCACCAGATAATGCCTCATCAACCGGCTCCAGGTCCTCAGTCACCAGGTCCTTCTTCCAGCCCAATTTGAAGAGAGGGTTGAGCCAGAGCGACAGACTCCGGCCAAAGATGCCAGATAGCTCCTCTCGGGTAGCCTTAGTGGCTGGAATGGTGATAAAGGCGGGCTTCGATGCTGACTCCGCCGCAAGAAGAAACGCCTTAATGACGAGTTGGACGGTTAGGAAATTGGCAATGGCAAGGCCACCGTTGTAGGCGTAGGCCCATTCTCTTGGAAGACGAGCTCCGTCAAGTATGATTGTAGCCAAGAGGGACGTCTGCAGCACAGAAGAGGGAGCACGAGCTCTCCGGTGTTCGAGTCTAGAGACGAAGATGAAGAGGACGCTGGATGCGATGACCAAAGAACCTGACGCGATGATAATGGTGGTGTCTCCGGCGACTTCTCCGCCTCGGATGGTGGCTACGCCCAGAGTCAAGATTTGGATCGCCGCGAGGGCGTGCCAGAGGATCTTGATGGCAGTGTTAGCCGTAGACATGGTGGTGCTCTTCGAACGTTTGGCTTACAAGCTTGAGATGACCCATCCATGACCCCTGGTTCACGGCTGGTTTATTCCAGAGCTTCCATACACGATGTAGACCCCAGATGATAGCGATGGCAGAGGGCACGATTGCTCCGAAGACTTCAAACTGATAATCGAAATACGGAGCTCGCGAGCAGCCTTGATGCGGTCCAAGGACGAGAAGGCCAAGACTGTCGTCGGGACACACAGCGGCCCCGAACGGGACCCGCGGTGCTGGCCACAGACCCATTGCGGAGGTCGTAGAGCAGGCGAAAGATGCGTCTATAGCAAGCTGGAATACATAAGTCGCGGCCAACGTGCAATTGAGAGGTAAATGAAGGGCAGACGACGTCGAAAGCAGCTGGCTTCGCGCACGTAAGATAACGGACGTCAAGGTGCTGACGCCACGCGACTCGGGCGAACCGAAACCGCCGTGTTACGAATGGCGCAGGATTCTGCGGCACAGCAGCAGCAGCCCCTGGAAGGCGTCGCAGAGAGCGTCGCTTACGCTGTGTACCTTGGGTGAGCAATATTTCCTTATTGGCCTTGACCTGCCTGGATCGGTTTGGGGGCTCAGGGGTCCGATTCTGCTCGCTTGCCGAATAATCAGCTTGCTAGAAGGGACTTTTGTTAGGAATGTGGTCGTGGTCGGTGTCGGTATCGCGTGCTACGCAGGATTTACGAGGGAAGTTATACTAACCCTTCTGTGCTGGAATTCCGCTAAGCAAGACTGATGTCATTCCTTTGGGTTTGCAATCGAATCTTAGTCGTTAGAGGCCATTGCGATGATCAAGTAAAGATCTGGACACAATGAATAAGTGTATTCAATAAATTTCCGCTCAATGTCTTTGGGAACTGATGATGCTCAGATACCAAAATGGCTCCATGCAGCGTGCAATCATTGACGCAAACTTTCCAAATCATAAATGCATTCATCAGGGGTATGTAACTTCCTGCCTTCCTCCAGGCAACATCATGCGTAAAGACCAACCTTGCGACTCATGAACGTCTCTTGCAACCATCTGCAGCCACAACGTCGGTACGATCGGGAGCCAAAACTCGCAAATCTCCGTCCTCAATATCTCTACCCCGGCGGCCCAAGATTCCCGCGCGCCATCTCTATCGCCCATAGCCAGCAGAGCATGGGCCAGGGATAGGTGAGTTATCGCCGTCGTGAACCCGCCTCCTGGCCCGAGGGTATACATCTTCTGAGCCTCCTCGAGGGCAAATTTCCACCGCAGCACAGCCGCCTGCCGATCTGCCCTGAAGCTGGCTATTCGCGCATGACCTATGAACAGCCGCATGTGCAGTTGTTGGTCATGGAGGTTGTCTAGTTCGGCAGGCTCGTAGCCCTCGAGCTCTTTCAGTGTTGCTTCAGCAGCATCTAATCGTTGAAGTCCGATATCGACCTCTGCCGATGCTAGCAGCAGCCTCCGGGGCCCGCGCCGGCAGCGCTCGGCGTCTTCCGTCGTGCCGAGCTCTGTTTGGAGTATATCGGCGGCCATCGCCCACTCCTGCATGTTGCAGTATATATCGGCGAGCCTGCCACACAAGAGGCGTCGCGTGTTCTGACGGATCGGCTTCGTCATGTCCAAAGACATCAAATGCTCTATCGAAGCCCTGGCAGCGCCAAAGTCGCCGATGGATTGGAAGAAACGCGCTGCCGTGCTCTGCAATCGGAAGGTGACCTCAATATCGAGAGTCGACAACGGCTGTTCCGCTTGCCAGTTGTAGATGAACGACGACACATCATTGTCATAGCACTTGATCTTGTTTTCGATTTGAGAGATGTGCAGGCGTCCGAGAAGGGCGTGGTCCTTGCGAGTGGAAGGTTGCGGCCCTCGCCAGATGAAGTCGCGGATATGCGCTTCCGACTTTGCAAACTCGCCGTCGAGCCGTAGCAGGTTGCTCCGGGAGAGGACCACCGATGCATGGAAGTAATACGGCATGGGCTTGCGCAAGAACGACTTTGCTCTGTCGACGGCGGCGCGGCGCATGGGTATGTGGTCCCGCTCGGAAAAGTAGAGGAGCGCGTCGATGACCTCCGCCTTGAGCGGTGTTGGAACTTTGAAGGTTGTCGTGGCCTTGTCCATCACCGCCCAAACGGCGGCTTTGAGAGTTGGCGACCTAGCGGACCTTGCTTGTCAGTAAAGAAAAAAGCATTGGGCGGGTGAAGCAACGAACCATTCCGTGTTTCCTTCGTAACATGGAGGGACGACAAAGCACAGCAGTTTGAGTGCGACGTTGCCTAGTTCGTCCATGGTTTTGGGAGTTAGTACTCTGGAGAAGAACATTGCAAGTTCGGAGCATAGAGACCAGACGTTCGTCCTGTCTTCCAGGCCATGCTTGTTAATGTACGGGCTTTCTGTCGCGCGAGAACACTCTATGTCGTCGGATAGAAGGTTGGTCAGCTCGGTGGGCAGACCGAACTTGTCAGACGTGACAGTTTCAATCTCGCCATCGCTGTTCCACCGCCGTTGCGGCGACCGAACGCCTTTCAAGAGGGCCTCAGGTACGTCGGAGCCTCCATAAGCATAAAGGAGTAGTAGCAGTTGATCTGTTGCTGGAAGTACATCGGCGTAGTCATAGAAAAGATTGTAGTACGAGGAAGGCAATGCAGGGTCTGTGAATGTGCATTAGTATTAGGACCAATCGTCAAGAGTGTGGTGCGACCGACCTCGGAGTTGACTTAAGATAAGACGCTGCGCAAATGCTGTATAGTCTTCGTACCTTGGTGACAGATTGAGCAAGTGGCTAAAGACTTCTTCGTCGTCTATGTTTAGATACCTCTCATACCTGTGACATGTAAGTGGCTGTTCAACCCAATGCACCATGGAATTCTCACGTTGATGGCGGAACATCTAGCGGAAGCCAAAGAATTGCTCCAAGACCGCCGAGTTTGCGTGCAATCTGAATATACTTCCTGCCTGAGTTGCGAATGTCGCTATAGTTGTGCTGCCTTGGGAATATTTCGGCAACTTGAGGCGGTACTAGTACTTGCGCATCCAACTTCGATCTGAGAAATATTACCACGCAGGCAAGTCGCCGGCGCAGTTCTGCAGGTACTCTGTTATCAGACACGGCCCAGAACCCGTCAATGTTTTCTCTGAACTGCTCCCGGACCTGGTTGACCGGCGTGAGGTCAAGCGAGTCGACGGCCAGCGCTTTGCTCGTGCGCTGGTTGCGGGGGGTGACGTGGAACTGCACATCGCGGGAGAGCGACTTGGACTGCGCCAGAAGCCGGCGCAGATCCTCCAGGTGTCGGGTAAGTGCAGGGATCAGATTTCTAGCTTGGCTCTCATCATATTGGTTCGATAGAAGTCGGACTGAGCTGCACAAGCATACCGCCTCCATCGTTGCCGTGGTGGCTGGCAGCAGGCGTGGGGTTTAGACTTCTGCACGCGATAATGAAATGTCCAGTCCTCCTCACTGTGAGAGGATTAAATTCCTTCTTTTGCAAAACATGGTCTCCACCGACCGTTCTCGGCGCTTAACTCGGAAATGCGAGATCCCCGACCCGCTCTCCTTTTTTTTTTTTTCCTCTGTCCGTCAGACCATGCCGGGGCTGGCTTGGTTGCCTCACTTATCAATCGCCCCATGCTCCTAGACTAGTCCTCTTTGAGGTGACGTGGCATGGGTAGCTCCACTAAATAATTGAGATTTTGTTACGGATATCGAAGCTGTGAATGCTTTTCGTCTTCGCGGCCACATTTTAGAGTCAACTTGTGTGCAAGACCTGCAATACCGTGAGCTGGCGGAATGGTGCTCCATGCATGTCTATGTCTAAATGTTCTTAGCCTCATCTATGATCAAAAGTTCTCAAAATGGATGTCTATCCTCAGCCCTCGACTGTTTCGCCATCTGTCCGCTGCGTCCCTCACATCGTCCATGAGCGATTCTGGCCCGCATGTGGCAACCAGGACCCTCTGTTCAGTTCCAACGCCTTCTAACGATACGCCAATCTCCTGCTCCACGTGAACTTTCTCAAATCTGATGTTGAAGGCGTCTTCGATCTCATTAGTAGTAGTGCTTGTTGAGAGTCCCTCCGTGTCGTGCGATATGGACCCATAGTTGACGACACCTTCATTCATGCGTCCATTGTTGGGTGTTTCGGCAGACGCTTCTTCTCTAGGTGAATCACCAGTAACGTAAAGCTTGACATCGATGCTCGATCCGGATCTCGAAATTTTGTGAAGGTGTTCTTGAAACCAGCTCAGATGTTCTGGTATGATGTTAGAAGAGCATGTCTCGCGACTTGAATATGATTATATCAACCTGGCGGACGAACCTGATTGTCTCACTGTCCAGATGAAATCAACAGACTGAGCTTTCACTCTGTCGTATCGGCTCATCATACGGTTCATCACACCAAATGTGAATGCTGCTCCACTGCCTCCGGCAACCAAGACCAACTTGTCGTAGGACTCTGTATCTGGCAGCGATCCATATGGACCATCAACCGAGGCCCACGTAGTGCGGTTGGAATGCCTCCTGGAAAACTCGTCGACACGTCTGGTGAAGCCCTGATGTGACTTCATGACGAGCTCTAGACCTGCAGAGTCATTGTTCACAATTGTGAACGGATGATTTTCGTAAGGATGGATTCGCGGTATCCAGAGGAAACAGTGAGTTCCAGGCAGCATCTTCTTGGCCCCTGGTTTTCTTAAGATCACCCTCGTGCCGCCGTCAGGGAGTGAATAGAAGGTCGCAGAGTTGTTTATGAGATTCAGAACCATTCGTGCCCCTCGTATCATGCGGTCGACCGCCCACATAGCCGCAGTGAACGACATCACAACTGGGATCTTCTTTGCCCAGTTGGGTCTGTGAAGGCCGGTCAGAATAACAGCTGCCACAAAGGCCACGATGTGGCTGATGTAAAACAGTTCGTAGCGGCGATGTCTCGCGATTCCCATGAGCAGGACAAGCATCGCAACACCTGCGCCGATGCCCTCGAGGTCTTCCTTCTTCAATAGTTG